GTTGCCCAGGCTAAGGACAGTGGCACAATCATAGCTCACTACAGCCTCAAACTCCTGGCTTCAAGCGATCCTCCCACCCCAGCCTCCTGAGTAGCTGGTTCTACAGATACACACCTGCACAACCAGCTAATTAAAAAAAATTTTTGTGGCCGTCCATGGTGGCTCACACCTGTAATCTCAGCACTTTGGGAGACTGAAGCGGGTGGATCACTAGGTCAAGAGATCAAGACCATCCTGGCCAATATGGTGAACCCCGTCTCTACTAAAGATAACAAAAATTAGCTGGGTGTGGTGTGCATTCCTCTAATCCTAGCTACTCAGGAAGCTGAGGCAGGAGAATAGCTTCAACCAGGGAGGTGGAGGTTTCAGTGGGCCAATATTGAGTCACTGCACTCCAGCCTAAGTGATACAGAGAGACTCTGCCTGTGGAGGGGAACTCCGCAGGAGCCAAGGCAAGGGTCTCAGGCTTCAGTCTGCTCTCATCTAAATATAGAATTAGGAAAGAATTCCTATATATATAATCATAAATAATCACATAGCTATTCACATGTAATTATAAATATACAACATATGTATAATCATATAATCTTTAATCTTACTAATAAGTCTCAGGTCAAGATGTATGGGACTGAAGTGGCATTGGAAAAAGAGGTAACCCTAAGGCAAGACACTTTAAGCCCTCTGTGATGCCTGCAGAAGGGCTGCTGGTGGGCGCCTCCGCTGTGCGGTAGCACCAGTGCTGGGAAAATGCTGAAAGCCTGCTGTTCAGCCAGCCAGGGAAAGAGATGTCCAGGATGGCTGAGACGTCTCCTTCCTTGGGGGAGTTACGAGAAGGCTCCGCTCTTCCAAGCTTTTGTGGTAGTCCTGACGGCTGTCAGGGAGGCCTGCGGACATCCAGGGGTTGCTTGTCTCTGCGATGCTGTGCTTCAGCAGTCACGTTCCATGTCTCCTTTCATGTTCTGCTTCTGCACCTGGTTCCTCCGTTTCTCAAAGGATAAGAATTAGTAATAGTAACATAAATCTTAGTGACCTTGTTATTTCTTGACAAGTATGAAAAAAGTGCTGATGCCTTAGGTTTTCTCCTCGCCTTGGCTTCTTGAAAATCCTGAGCCCCTGTCTCTAAGACACGTGATTTACCTGACTCTGTCACTGACCACCATTACCTCACCCTACCTTCCCTGCCTCCTGTTTTGTACTTAATAAAAGTCAGAGTGTCCAGGCACTCAGGCCACTGCCAGACTCCGATTTTTGTTTGGCAGTGGACTCCCGAGCCCAAACCTTCTTTTCTCTATCTCTTTGTCTTGTGTCTTTATTTTAACAATTTCTCATCTCCACACTAGCAGGGAGGAGCTCACAGTACCCTGTAGGGCTGGACCCTACATCTGCCTCAAAAAAAAAGGTGTGCCCCAGAAGTCAGCAGTGGGTTCTACATGCGCATCTTCAAGACGTGAAAACAAAAGGGAGAACTTGACCTCCACGCCGCAACTGCAACCTGTACCTCGACTCCAGTGACCCTGACAGCACAGAAGCCCCTGGAGAAAGAGCAGGTTAGAAAGGCAGTGGCTGCTCTCTTGACACATGGCAAGTCCAGGAAGAACGATTATAAACTGCTTTGGAATGAGAATGAAAATTTATTTTTAATGGTGGTATTATGGAAAATTCCAACTAGAGAACTGAGGGTCAGATTGTCCTTGCCTCATGGTATTTGATCAGATTTAGAAGACATCTGTTTATTTATGAAGGATGAACCCAATTCAACCCCTGAAAAGACAGAACAGTTCTACTGAAAGCTTTTAAAAAAAAAATTATTTATTTATTTTAAATAAAGGGGCTTGGCCAGGCGTGGTGGCTCAAGCCTGTAATCCCAGCGCTTTGGGAGGCCGAGGCGGGTAGATCATGAGGTCAAGAGATCGAGACCATCCTGGTCAACAAGGTGAAACCCCGTCTCTACTAAAAATACAAAATATTAGCTGGGCATGGTGGCGCGTGCCTGTAATCCCAGCTACTCAGGAGGCTGAGGCAGGAGAATTGCCTGAACCCAGGAGGCGGAGGTTGCGGTGAGCCGAGATCGTGCCATTGCACTCCAGCCTGGGTAACGAGAGCGAAACTCCGTCTTAAAAATAAAAATAAATAAATAAATAAAGGGGCTTTCTGGCAAAAACTGGAAAGCCTGCTAGACAAATTCTAAAAGAGCTGTAACACTTACAGAAAGCTTTTAAACAAGCATGGAATTAAAACCATTTCTCAGATTATTCCCCTCCAAACTCTAAAGAAGGAATATAAAGCTTTGAAGCCAAGCTCTGCCTTCTGAGCCCTTTTGACTTCATCCTCACTGACGCCAGAATTAGGCAGCTCTTACCCTCCCTCGCTGGGAAACCTTTCTATCAAAGAAAGTAAGTTCCAGTGTCTGTAAACCTTCCATCCAAGAATTTATCAAGAGACATCACTGATGTGTAGGTAGAATGGTCTTAAACATTTCCTTCTTTTTTTTTCCCTAAAGATGGGGTTTCACCATGTTGGTCAGGCTGGTCTTGAACTCCCGACCTCAGGTGATCCATCCGCCTCGGCCTCCAAAGTGCTTGGATTACAGGCGTGAGCCACCACGCCCGGCCTTAAACATTTCTAAAAGTGGGTCTTGTCGTGCTATATGCATCCGTCACATTGGAATGCAAATTGAGCACATCATTGAAAACATTGTTTCCGTCACCAAAGGACTTTCAGAAAAACTGCCAGAGAAGTGGGACAGTGTGAAACTCCTGTTTGTGAAAACTGAGAAATCAGCTGCCCTTCCCATCTTCTCCTTGTTTGTCAGCAATTGGGATGAAGCCACCAAAAAAATTATGCTTAATAAGAAGAAAAAAGCGGCAAGGAGAAAAGGAAGAGGAAAAAATTCTGAAAAGCAAAAGGAAAGGAACAAAAACAGAAAGAGGCAGCAGGCTGGCAAGCCTCATCAGTCCTTAGTGAAGACGACGTGGCCCCTCAATGTGTAACACTGCAGTGAAGAAACCTGAATCTGAGAGAGAACAGACCCCAGAGCACGGGAAGAAAAAACATGGCAAAGGAAAAGCCCAAGTTAAAGTGACGAATGAATCTGAAGATGAAATGCCATAGCTGGTCCCAAAAGGAAAGGCTCCAGCTAATGAAAATGCAGAGGTTCAAAAACATGCCACAGGAAAGAAGTCTCCAACAAAGAGTCCTAATCCCAACGCATTCCGTGGGAAGAAAAGAAAGGCCTTGGCCGGGCGCGGTGGCTCAAGCCTGTAATCCCAGCACTTTGGGAGGCTGAGGCGGGTGGAACACGAGGTCAAGAGATCGAGACCATCCTGGTCAACATGGTGAAACCCCGTCTCTACTAAAAATACAAAAAATTAGCTGGGCACGGTGGCACGTGCCTGTATTCCCAGCTACTCAGGAGGCTGAGGCAGGAGAATTGCCTGAACCCAGGAGGCGGAGGTTGCGATGAGCCGAGATCGCGCCATTGCACTCCAGCCTGGGTAACAAGAGCAAAACTCCGTCTCAAAAAAACAAAAAAAGAAAAAGAAAAGAAAGGTCTTGGCCCGGTGCATTGGCTCACACCTGTAATCCTAGCACTTTGGGAGGCCGAGGTGGGTGGATCACCTGAGGTCAGGAGTTTGAGACCAACCTGGCCAACATGGTGAAACCCCATGTCTATAAAAAAATAAAAAGAAAAGTCTTGCCAGCATCTGTAACCCCAAAAACTGCAGAGTCTGAGACCCCAGAGAAAGGCCCAGGGAAGAAGCCAAAAATCAAAGAGGAGGCAGGGAAGGAAAAAAGAGTCCTTCGCTGGGGAAAAAAAGATATGAGACAGACTCCTAAAAAGCCAGACGCCAAGTTCTTCACCACTCCTAGTAAATCTGCAAGAAAAGCTTCCCACACCCCCAAAATAGCCCAAAAAACCAAAGTATCCCAGTCGACCTAAAGTCAGTGATTCAACTGGAAAGAGACCTCAGAGCTGCCTCAAGAGCTCTTTAGAAATACTCAGGTCCTGACCCCCTTTGCAATCTTCTCCAAGCATCAGGCCTGACTTAAAAGAGTTTTTAAAAACCTCCATACGTAATTCTGACATATGTTTCCTGGGTATAATAATCTGTTTTTAAATTGTCCTGCTGTGTATTTGCTAATATAATAGAAGAAATACAGAGTGCTTCTCAAAAAAATACTTAAAATTTTTCTTGGCTGGCGGGGTGGCTCATGCCTGTAATCCCTGCACTTTGGGAGGCTGAGGCAGGTGGATCACGAGGTCAAGAGATCGAGATCATCCTGGCCAACATGGTGACACTCTATCTCTACTAAAAATACAAAAACCAGCTACTGAGGAGGCTGAGGCAGGAGAATTACTTGAACCTGGGAGGAGGAGGTTTCAGTGAGCCGAGATTGCACCACTGCACTCCAGCCTGGTGACAGAGCAAGAAGACCCCATCTAAAAAAAAAAAATTATATATATATATATATATATATATATATATATATAGTAGACACAGGGTCTCACTATGTTGCCCAGGCTACTCTCAAATTCCTGGCTTTAAGCAATCCTCCCACCTTTGCCTCCCAAAGTCCTGGGATTATAGGTATAAGTCACGGCCCGCCCCCCGGCCAGTACTTCAGATTCTTAACCTTCGTGAAACCTGGGTCTTCCTAACTCCAAGAAACCCGTCTTCTTCCTAGAGTTGAGAGAATTCTGAGGAGGGAGCTGCCTCTCCATCCCTTCCCTATGCGCTTCTAGCAAAAGTTTATCAGTCTTACATCACCAGAGGGCATGAATGAAGAGACTGCCATCAGCTATTCAAACGTTCATGCACTATTAGCTAAGCACCTACTTTGGGTGAGGCTCACCTGGGAACACCCTGCCCACTCCAAACTCGGAAGCCTGCCTGCTTCACCACATTCTCTGATGTCCTGGCAACCAGAGACTCATCTGAGCTCCAGCCAGAACAAAGAGTCCTCTGTGACTGCTGTGACCCACCACCTCCCCAAGCCTCTGAGGACCAGTCTGTGTAGTCTTGGGACCACTGAAAGCTACCCCTTGTCCTCAAGGACTCTGAGAACCCCAGCCCCACTGACGGCAGGATGAGCTTCTCGGTCACGTTCACCGAGCTGGCCAACATCACCATCCCACAGTGCGGGGTGCTGAACTTCAAGGCCCTGCACCTCCTGCTGCAGGGCATCTTGGAGCACATCCACATGGCTGAGCTCAAGAAGGTCCTCTCAGGGGACGAGGACTTCCTGCAGCCCTCACAGGTGGTCATAGTGCCCAGGGAAGGAGACGCCCAGCCCATCCTCAACCCCATGAAGAGGCTCAGCAATGTCTTCGACCACGTAGTTAGCCGCCTCGACAAGATAGAGAACCAGCTGGCCTTGCTGAAGGACCTGCCCTCTACCGCCCACCTACTGGGAGGCAGCCAGGGCACTGGCCGGCCCACCCAGGACCTGTGGCATCTGATCAAGCTCCAGAAGACAGTGGAGGCTCACGATGAAGCCCTGGCCAAGGTATGTCCCGAGCCGCCAGACACTTCCTTTCTCCCCCACACCCCTTGCTCTCTCCAGGGGCGTCTTCTTTTTTTTTTGAGGTGGAGTCTTGATCTGCCACCCAGGCTGGAGTGCTGTGGTGCAATCTTGGCTCACTGCAACCTCCGCCTCCTGGGTTCAAGTGATTCTTCTGCCTCAGCCTCCCTATTTGCTGGGTTACAGGCGCATGCCACCACATCCAGCCAATTTTTTATTTTTAGTAGAGATGGGGTTTCATCATGTTGGCCAGGCTGGTCTCGAACTCCTGACCTCAAGTGATCTGCCCATTTTGGCCTCCCAAAGTGCTGGGATGACAAGCATGAGCCACTGCTCCTGGCCCTCTTGTTCCTTATTCCCCTACAATGGGCCATTCATTCCTTTATGCAGAGTGGAAGGAAGTAGGCTTTGGAGTCAGGCACAATCAAAACACCAAGCTTGCGGCCTCCGTCAAGTATTGCGAAGGAGCCAGATACACAAGGCCATCTAGTATATGATTCCATTTATACAAAATGTCCAGAATAGGCAGATCCATGGAGACAGAAAGCAGTGGTTGCCAGGTGCTGGGAGGAGGAGAGAATGAGGAGTAATTGCTTTGTGGAGACAGAGTTTCCTTTTGGGGTGATGAAAATGTTTTCAAACTAGATGGCGGTGATGGTTGTACAACCTCACTGATGTACTGAATGCCACTGAATTGTTCACTTAAAAATGGCTAATTGTACATTAGGTGAATTTCACGGCAATTTTTTTTTTTTTTTGAGACAGGATCCCACTCTGTCACCCAGGCTGGAGTGCAGTGACTCAATCACAGCCACTGTAACCTTGACCTCCCAGACTCAAGCAATCCTCCCACCTCAGCCTCCCAAGTAGCTGGGACCACAAGTGTGCACCACTGTACTTGGCTAATTTTCATATTCTTTATAGAGATGGGGTCTTCCTATGTTGCCTAGGCTGGTCTCAAACTCCCAGGCTCAAGTGATCCTCCTGCTTTGGCCTCCCAAAGTGCTGGGATTACAGGCGTGAGCCACCATGCTGAGCCTCATCCCAATTTCTTTTTCTTTCTTTCTTTTTCTTTTATTTCTTTCCTTCTCTCTTTCTTTCTTTCCTTTCTTTCTCTCTCTCTCTCTTTCTCTCTTTCTTTCTGTCTTTCTTTCGAGATGGAGTCTCCCTCTGTTGCCCAGGCTGGAGTGCAATGGTGCCATCTCAGCTCACTACAACCTCTGCCTCCCAGGTTCAAGCGATTCTCCTACCTCAGCCTCCTGAGTAGCTGGGACTGATTTTTTTGCATTTTTAGTAGAGACAAGGTTTTACCCTGTTAGCCAGGATGGTCTCGATGTCCTGACCTCGTGATTCACCCACCTCAGCCTCTCAAAGTGCTGGGATTAAAGGCATGAGCCACTGCACCTGGCCTTCTCACCCCAGTTTCTAAAAAATGCCTGGAGGACCTACCATGGGAGAGGTACCAGGGTAGTGACGGTGAACAGGCACGCCCGGCCTATCAGGGGTGATAGATAAAGACAAGTGAATGAGAACCTACAAGAACCAGCCCCATGAGGAGCAGCACAGAGGCATTTCTTCTGTCTTCTAGGTGAGGAAACTGATCCTTAGTGGAGTTCACTGATTTGCTGCTGAAGGCCCAGCAGCCAGTGGGCAAGGGAGCTGTGATCTGACGAAGGGCTCTGACCCTGGCCTATCTTTGACTGCTGAGTCCTGCTAATCCCACCAGCACATGGACAGTGCTCAATTACTGGCAGCCCAAGAAGGAATAAGAAAGGGAAAATAAGCTTGGCGAAGTGGCTCACACCTGTAATCCCAGCACTTTGGGAGGCTGAGGCGGGTGGATCACAAGGTCAGGCATTTGAGACCAGCCTGACCAACACAGTGAAACTCTGTCTCTACTAAAAATAAAAAAAATTAGCTGGGCGTGATGGTAGGCACCTGTAAACCCAGCTACTCAGGAGGCTGAGGCAGGAGAATGGCTTGAACCCGGGAGGTGTATGTTGCAGTGAACAGAGGTGACGCCACTACACTCCAGCCTGGGTGACAGAGCAAGACTCTGTCTCAAAAAACTAAATTAAAAATAAATAAATAGGGAGGGATGGCGCAAACCACCATGCCATGTATATAGCTATGCAGCAATCCTGCAGGATGTGGACATGTGCCCCAGAGCCCAAAGTACAACAAAAAAAAGGGATAAATGCATAAATAAATAGAGGGGAAATTGACCTAACATAAAATCAGCCATTTTTTGTTTTCTTTCTTTCTTTTTATTTAGAGACAGGGGTTCACCATATTGGTCAGGCTGGTCTTGAATTCTAAACCTCAGGTGATCCGCCCACCTCGGCCTCCCAAAGTGCTGGGATTACAGGTGTGAGTCACTGTGCCTGGACCAAATCAGCCATTTAAAAGTGAACATTAAACAATAAATTAATGGAAATTCGGTGGCACATGATACATTGACATTGTTGTGTAGACACCTCTATCTAGTTCTAAGCCATTTCCATCACCCCAAAAGGAAACCCTATTTCCTCCAGTTACTCCTCCTCCCTGCAACCCCTGGCAACCACTAATCTGCTTTCTGTCTTACGGATTTGCTTATTCTGGACATTTCATCTAAAGGCGTAATCCGTATATTTCATAGAGACAGTAGATTAGTGGTTTCCGGGGGCTCTGGAAGAGGGGAACAGAGAGTAACTGCTAACAGGGACGGGATTTCCTTTCAGAAGAATGAAATGTCTTGGAAGTAGATAGTGATGCACATACCAAATGCCATCAAATTGTTCACTTTATTTTTATTTTTTTGAGACAGTCTCACTCTGTCATCCGGGCTGGAGTGCAGTGGTGCAATCTCTGCTCACTGCAAGCTCTGCCTCCCAGGTTCAAGTGATTCTCATGCCTCAGCCTCCTGAGTAGCTGGAATTACAAGTGATTGGCACCACACCTGGCTAATTTTTCTTTGTATTATTTTTATATTTTAATATTTTCATACTAAAATATTTTTATATTTTTATACTTTAATATTATTTGTATTTTACCACAAAAAAGCAGAGATTGGCAGAATAGATTAAAAACAAACAAACAAACTGGGCCCAGTGGCTCACGCCTGTGATCCCAACACTTTGAGAGGCTGAGGGGGGCAGATCATGAGGTCAGAAGATCAAGATCATCCTGGGTAACACAGTGAAACCACGTCTCTACTAAAAATACAAAAAGTTAGCTGGGCATGGTGGCATGTGCCTGTAGTCCCAGGTACTCAGGAGGCTGAGGCAGGAAAATCGCTTGAACCTGGGAGGTGGAGGTTGAGTGAGCTGAGATCACACTATTGCAGTTCAGCCTGGGCAACAGAGTGAGACTCCATCTCAAAGACAAACAATAAAACATGACCTAACTATTATCTGATGCTTACAAGAGACACACTTAAGATTCAAAAACACGGGGAGCGGGCAAAAAAAAACACAAAAAACAAGATTCAAAGACACAAATAGGGCCAGGCACGGTGGCGTGCACCGTAATCTCCGCTCTTCGAGAGGCTGAGGCAAGAGGATTGCTTGAGCCCAGGAGTTGGCAATTGTAGTGAGGAGCTCTGATTGTTCCACTGCACTCTAGCCTGGGTAACAGAGTGAGACCCTGTCTCTACAAAAAAAAAAAAAAAAAAAAAACCAAAAACACAAATAGGTTAAAAGGATATAAAAAGATATTACAGCTGGGCGCCGTGACTCACGCCTACAATCCCACCCCTTTGGGAGGCCAAGGCAGGTGGATCACTTGAGGTCAGGAGTTCAAAACCAGCCTGGCCAAAATGGTGATGTCTAGTAAAAATACAAAAATTAGCGGGGTGTGGTGGTGGGTGCCTATAATCACACCTACTGAGGAGGCTGAGGCAGGAGAATCACTTGAACTTGGGAGGCAGAGTTTGCAGAGAGCCGAGATCGTGCCATTGCTCTTTAGCCTGGACGATAAGAGTGAAACTCTGTCCTCCGCCCCCCCCCCAAAAAGCTATTCCTCGTATTCCTTTCAAGCAGTGACCAGAGGAGAGTGGGGTCTTCTCAGACAAGATAGACTTTAAGACAAAAATTGTTTCTAGAGGCAGGACTGCCTGGTGTGGCTGAGGGCATATTATGGGGGCCTTGTGGGCAGGACAGGTGGGTACCAGGATCCAAGGTGCTGGCACCCCAGAGGCAGCTTGCCTCCTGGCCTGCCTTGATGAAGGCTTCTAGAAGGTACAGGTACCCCGAGCAGCTCAACAGGGCAACCCACGCAGCTCACAAAAAGGGCTTGTGGACAGGTTCAGACCTAGGTGTGCAACCTCCAGAACTGTTTGTGCAGCTAAGGAATGTCCCCATCATTAGAGAATCTTGCCTTGTCCTGGCCTGATTGAGGTTGCCTGAGGTTCCCACAACGACACATTGAAGGGGGTTGCCATGGCAGCTGGTTCTAGAATGGTGCAAACTGCATAGCTGTCTGTACCACCAACTAGTAAGGCTGCTGGGGGTCGCCTGGCAAACGATGTTCAAGGGACAATTTTCCTTTTGAGAGTCCCCGTCTGCCTTCTTCAGGCCTGGCTTTTTCTCATCTGTGATGATAACCTCTTGCAGCTGGCCTCATAGGAGAACACGAGAGATGATGTCAGCTGTTTGTTGCTGAGATTGTTTCGTCTAACCCCCTATTGTGGGTCCAAGGCTTAGGGGATTTTTGTATTGTAGAAAAGCTTTAATTTTTTGGTCTTTTCAAGGGAATTAGATGCATCACCACTAAGCCATTAATCCTGCAGCTTCGTCAGCAGTAACTGGTTCACTTTCATGAAGCCACTGGGGAATCAGTTCTTTCTGCAGATGTTCAAGAGAAAGGATTGCCAGGTGCGGTGGCTCACGCCTGTAATCCCAGCACTCTGAGAGGCTGAGGTCGGAGGATCCCTCGAGCCCAGGAGCTCAAGACCAGCCTGGGCAACATGACAAGACATCCTTTCTAACCCCAAAATTTCAAAA